TGGGTGCCACCTCTCATGGCCACCCTGTTGGGTGCCATCTTCCATGACCATGCCGTTGGGTGCCATCTCTCATGGCCACCCTGTTGGGTGCCATCTCCCATGATCACGCCATTGGGTGCCACCTCTCATGGCCACGCCATTGGGTGCCACCTCTCATGGCCACGCCGTTGGGTACCATCCCTCATGGCCACAACCATCAGGTGCCATCTCTTGTGGTGGTCCCACCAGGCACCGTCCCCTCCCGTTGGCCGGGTCTGGGACCCCCGCGGTGGCTGCTGACACCCGTGTCCCTCTCCCGGCGCAGGTTTCACCATCTGCCACCCCTCCCAGCTCATCCGTTCCAGCTACATCTTCCTCTTCCAGTTGCCCTGGCTGCCTGAGCTCCTCTTCTCTTTGGCAGACTTCGAGGTGAGGCCCCATCCCCACGTCTCCTTGTCCCCGCGTTGTCCCCTCGGGTGCTCCGTGCCACCTTCTGCACCCAAGAAGCTCCTCAAGAACCACTTGAGGAGCAACAACCAACCCCCCCCCCAAGAAGTGGAGCGAGGTGTCGTGTGTCCCCCCCCCCGCCGGGGCCTTGTTCCCAATTTTGGGGTGGTGACCTCACCCAGACCTCCTGTCCTCCTCGGTGACCCCGTAGCTGGTGAAGACCACCTTGACGGGACCTCAGACGAGGATCCAGAATCCGCTGCGGCAGTTGACGGAGCAGGAGGTGGACGCCTACCTCTACAGCCTCTCCCAACCGGGAGGGTTGACCGCCCCCATCAACTACTACCGGAACCTCTTCCAGTAGGTGGGGGTTGGGGTGCCAAGGTTGGGTGCTGTTGGGTTGGGTTTTGTGGGTTGGGTGCTCCTGGTTGGGGTGTTGGTGTTGGTGGGATCCCACTGAGGTGTTCCCATTTGGGATGTTCCCGGTTGGGTGCTCCCATTTTGGGTGCTTCTATTTGGGTGCTTCCGATTGGGCTGATCCTCTTTGGGATGATCCCATTGGGGTGCTCCTGTTTTGGGGTCCACCCATTGGGCTGCTCCCATTTGGGGTGCTGCCTTTTTTGGTGCCCCCATTTGGGGTGCTCCCACTGGAGTTCTCCATGTTGGGGTGCTCCGTTTTGGGTCCTCCATTGTGGGGTGCTCCCGTTGAGGTTCTCCATGTTGGGGTTCTCCACAGTGGGGTTCTCCTATTGGGGTGCCCCCCATTTGGGTGCTCCCCTTGGGGTCCTCCATGTTGGGGTGCTCCCATTGAGGTTCTCCACGTTGGGGTGCTCCAGGTTGAAGTTCTCCCATTGGGGTGCCCCCC